TAATTTATTAATAATTCACTGAATGACTTTGAAAGAAATCTAAAGGTTTGTTTTTGAAAGACACTAATATTGCAGAAATATATAGGAAATTAATTATGTTCGCTAAAAGAGAAAGACTATACATTTGAAACCACTTGCCATCAGTTACGCCATTCAATTATTACATGAACAGAATGTACGATAAACAAAATGTGAAAACATTTAACATTCAAGGAGAAACAATAGTGACATTCAGTGCTCGAAACTTCAACTGTCACTAAAAATAAAAATGTAATCATACGGACAAATTCGTAATAATAAAACCTCTGCTATCCCAATAAACTGTTCTCAAGAAGAGTTCCATAGTTTCAAAACATGGATGAAAAATATGCGAATGAAGAAGTTGTTTAGACAGTTCAGAGCTTCGCATTATTTTTTAATTGTTACTGAATGGACAATCAGATTACTCCTGACGTCGAATTGAATTGGTGGATAGTGCTACAGTCCTGTAATTGCACTCCACAATTCGATAACCCCCGGATGTATGCGGTTTTATAAATAACTTCTTATTTTGCAATACTGTATCTTTTATGTTCTAAATGGACAACCCCGCAGGTAAAGGCATATATGTTTATTTATGCTATCCGTTTAGTGGAATACGTTGTCAAAATAACATAACAAGTCAAATTACTAGGTACAGGATTTTATACAACGTGCTTTACCCGGTTTAATACTGTAAAAACAAGTAAACACAGGCGCTGTCTGGTGCAGATCTAAATCCGATGGGAAGAAAATCTAGTTAGTTTTGAATAATTTCCTTAACGCGAATACACATGCATCAACTGTATTCCGTAGTGAATATGTACCTAATAATGATTGATTTGCGTTTTTTTCAGAGAGATTGCTTAGTGCGAACAAGTTCCGTTTTTTTCTTTTGCTTGTTTATTTGCGTGTGAGAAGTTAGTTTTCACTTTAAATTCAGTGATTTTATTTTTGCCATTAGTTCTCGATTAGTTTGCGAATTTGAGAAACAAAACCCATAAGTAAATATAGTTATTTATTCTATATATGGCACCTCACTGTAATAAAAAAATGTTATATATCTACCATATATATAGATATATATATCTCCAAATTCCGGGTCGAAAATTACAAAATACACGAAATCACCAAATGTTTTTTGAATTATTATTAAAAATCATATTATTTCAAATATTTCTGGTAGTTTCAGATGTTTCAGCTAAAACGCGTGTTTGATATATTTGAAATTCTCAAACGTTCAACTTGCACAGAACAAAAGTGTTTACGTGCTCACAAAATACGATCCCTGTTTTAGTATGTTGCCTTCAGAAGCTGGGAAATAAATACAAGAGATAAACAGGATATCAAATTCGTTACCATACAATTTCAGACTTATTAAACTCATGTAGTAATTTCATGAATTCCCGACTCAGAACAAATGGAATTACTACTCTCTTTTAATAGAATCTGTAACTGTGGGTTACTTGTTATATATATCTATATATCTGTTAGACAAAGGATTATTTCATAAATGTCTAAAAAATATAGTGATCATGATACAAAATTATTATTTGTTGTATCAATTATTCTCATGTCGTTTACCAAGCAGTATGTAATAATAAATACTTTTTAGGTACTTTACCTTGTGGTCGTTTCTCAAAAGACAATTATACTTGCACGAATTCTTTAAGAAATTTAAGAGTGGCTCGCCAAAAGACTAGACAACTGGCACGTGTCAATTTCCCAACAAAATGTTAAACCACACAGAGTGTGCATGTTGATCAGATTATATTACCGCACTTGTGACGCAAGAATCAATCATACGTTTGTTAAAATTTAACCTCTGTCAAAGCAAGTGTGTTTGTTTTTTATAAATGAAACCAAATTAAATTTCCACTGTAATGTAATTGTCTTCACATCACGAATTCTGAATTTAGCGTGGTTTTCAAGAAATAAAATTATGATTCTGATATCATATAAGAAGACATACTAACTGGTAGAGGAACTAGTGATAATAAATAATTTGCATTTGTGGTTAAAGTTTGCGCTCTCGTAGTGGTTTCTAGTTTATCACATGTTCCGGAAAACGTTTATGTAGAGGAACACATAATTGAA